GAGAAGGTAGGAGCCAAACAGGGTTTCCGCCTAGAGAGTAATAGTGAAAATAAGTTCTACCTAGCTGTGTGGACTGAGCTAGGTCCCTCCCCAGGAAGACTCAGACMTTGACACGAGAACTTCCTCTCCCAACCGCTGTCTCTCTATGTGCAGTGCCCTCCATGCTCCCAGCCTCCTGCTGAAAGCAGACTTCTGTGCACTTCTGAGCCCATAGGGGGTTAAGTTGGTGGAGGCATGAGGGCCCCTGGAACACTAATCAAGGAAGCTTTTTGAGTATGAATTTCTCCCCAAATGCTGATGACTCTTACTGGGCCCTTGTTACCCAGAACTCTCCATATGTCATCACCCCAAGTGCTTCCTCCTTTCCCTACAGGGCTTCTGTGAGCCAAAAGGAGGGAGGCCTCGGTCCCCCCAACCCCCACCCCAACCCTGCCATTTGAGCAGCACTCTTATTTCCTGTTTATAACAGCATTGCTACCCTCTTGGGAAATGGCTTAGGAATTGTGGGAGGATGGGCGGTGGTTGAGGTGGAATCTGAGAGGGTCCGCCCTGCTTAGCCGCTGCTCTGGGCCCTTGAGATTGAAAAGGAAGGAAGGAGGAAGCAGTTCCCCCGCTGCACTGTGCTGGTTCTAGAGCTCCATGGGGGGGGGGCAGGAGTGGGCACCAGATTGGTCCTGTATCAGGGGCCTCTGTGGAGCAGGGGAGGGCATGTGTTGGGTATGTGAGCTGGAAGTTGGAGTGGGTGCTGTCATTCTCAGTGCAGTCTGGACACTTGGGTCCATGGTAGGTCAAATAGAATTAATTAGCTCATTTAGTGTAACAAATCTTTAGGCACTGCTTGGTATGGGACTGGTGGACAAGTGACCCTTGGCCCCTGACAGATCATTGCATCCAGCATATAGATGATGTTTTTGCCACTTGCCCTAGTTGACCTACAGGTATTTATTAAGATGTGCATGTGTGCTGACTTGTCCATAACAGAGATACAAGGGGAAGAAAATGAGGATGAGATAAGTGGAAATTAGGTCTAATATTTCTTCTACCTGCTCAGCATTGTGCTGAGTGAATCCCACTTGAGAGTGCTAGCATGTATTGTTGCTTTCACAGGTAACTTGCATGGTTCAGACACCACTTCATATGTTAGCTCTGGGGAGGGATCGTTTTTGAGTTAGGACTATCTATGTGAAAAGAGGAAGCCAGGCAGATAAATGCTGTCCTTGAATAATTAGTATATGAGCCCCAGCCAGGCCAGACCAGAGTTCTTTGCCTTACCTGCCCTCTTTGTAAAGGCTACCCAGTTTGCCTGGGGTGGTATTTAAGGTTCTTGATGTTCCTGTGCCTTGGCAGGTTACTGAGAAGTAGGGACATGGGAGGCCTGTGCGCACCAGGCACCTGCTGTTATTCAGGTGGCTTTCTTTTTTTCTTTTTTTAATTTTTAATTTTTTTTTTTTAGTTGTTGACAGAGCTTTATTTTATTTAATTTTATGTGGTGCTGAGAATCGAACCCAGTGCCTCACACATGCTGGGCAAGTGCGCTTCCGCTGAGCCCAGGCCCCAGCCCCTCTTTGTGGCTTTCATAGACTTCTATCCATGTTGCATTTGATCCTGTCAACAGCATCTGAGGACAGAAAGTTCTTTCCCTACCAGGAAGACCAGAGATGGAGGTCTCTGTTGAGTGATGAGTGTCAGAGCAGACCCTGGGGCTTGCTTCCCGGAATGGCTGCTGCTACCTCCTAGAAAGTTTGCCTAGACTGGGCTGGAATGTATTTCTAAGTGAGATAGAAAATGGCAAAGCATGTGCAAAGCCCTGTTCACCCCCAGTTCCAAAAAAGAAACAAACAACAACAACAACAAAACAAAACAAAGAAAAGACCCCCAACTGAAAGTTTGCCTGAGTATCTGCCTGTCTTTCCATCCCCTGGTAAGGGGCCTGGAGGTCAAAACCTGAAGAGTAGGATGACTTGCCCTTCTCCTTGGCTTTGCCCCTTCCCCCAAACAGGGATTCACCCTTTCCTTCTGTTTGGTCCTGCCYCAGCTTGTTGGAGAGTGGTGGTCTGTGTAGGTGCTAGTCTCTTGCCCAGAAGGTGCCTCCAGGAATGGGCTTGCTCTGAAGTCTTACAGTAGGTTTGGGGGGAGGCCTGAGAACCTGAAGTTACTTGCTTAGAGGCAGGTAAAATCTAGGAAGTTAATCTTTCAAGCTCATTGCTTCAGAGCTTTTATTTCGTTTCTTAAGTGTTCATCTCAGTCACCCTGAAGTCTTGATAATAACAACTGTGTGTCCTTGTGTGAATTCTGTATCTCCTTTTACTCTTTTGTGACTGGTTTATCCTTCCTATAAGGAGCGAGGAGTCAGTTTTGACAGGGTTTGGTGCTAGGCTTACGGTTAATAAAAGAGACCTGGAAGTTTCAGAGAGACTCTTAGCTTGGAGCTGGAGCTGTCCTTCCCTGCCTGGGGACCCAGTAGCTTTGGTGAGTTTCCTTGACGACAGGCGAGATAAGCTAAAAATAACCTTATGTAGGGCCTTCAGTGCATGTGAGAGTGCTCTCTTGCCTGTTGTGCTTGGGCTTAGTTCCTATGGCTTCTGGATGCTACTGGAACACATTTGTGGCAACTTTGTGTGTGTGTGTGTGTGTGGGGGGGGGCGGCTTAGGTGCTCTCATTTTGAAGGCCCGAAGTTTAGAGGTCAGTTAGATAATCACGCAGCATGATTACCTTGGAGTATTAGTGGTTGCAGGTGGGGTGTGAGTATGAATTTTAAGAATGGAAATTGGGGGCTGGGGATGTAGTTAGTAGAGCACTTGCCTAGCATATGCAATGCCCTGGGTTTGATCCCCAATACTGCAAAATGGAAAAGAGAATTACAAGACCAGGAAGCCATTTTCAATGTCTGGTTTCCCTTTTGCCTACCTGGAGAGGGACAATCCTGGAGGTGTTGTTGTGTTTCAGAACCTCTGGAGCTGTGAAGTTTTGTTATCTTTCTTTAGAGAATCCCTCCACCTAAGGAGAGCCCTTAACTAGGTTTCTTTCCTAAAATAAAGACACCAAAGTACAAAGGAATATGGATCACTTGTCCAGAGCCACCTGGCTCTAGTTTGCAGAAGTTGTGGCTCCCTCCCTACTGAGGAGGACATATCTAAAGCCAAAGCCAGCTTTCTGTTTTGTAACAGCACTCTGCTTTAGCTAAGGCCCTCTATGGTATAAATTAACTTAGAAGTAGATTTGTCAGAGCAGGAACTGAATCTCTSTTTACCATACCTGGAATTAATTCCTGTCTTTCTCCATCCTTCCATCCATTAGTAAACATTTGGCTGTGGGCCAGGGTTGGGGAAATAATGAGAACAAAATGTTGTGTTCCAGTCTTAAGAGAGCTTATGGTTATCTGGGGGAGACAGTTACAAAGAAGTTTGCATTGTGGCCAGCTCTGATAGGCAAGAGGTCTGAGGGTTAGGAGAACATCAGGTTAAATCAACAAATTGACAGAAAGTACTGAAGTCTGAGATCATAAACAAATTCTACAAATTAATATAAAAAAAAGAGGCAGAAAATTCAGCAGAAAGAACTGACCAGTAGTTTGAAAAACACTTCAAAAAAGCAGATACCCAAATGACCAATATACATTCAAATWGTGCTAATATCATGTGTTAGTCACTGGGGAAATTCAAATTTAGTTCTTCTGGGCCAGGCATGGTGGTGGTGCATGCCTGTAATCCCAGCAGCTTGGGAGACTGAGGCAGGATGATCACAAATTCAAAGCCAGCCTCAGCAGTTTAGCAAGGTTCTAAACAACTTAGCGAGACCCTGTCTCTAAAATAAATAAAAAGGACTAGGGATGTGACTCAGTGGTTGAATGCTCCTGGGTTCAGTCCCCACATTAAAAAAAAAAAAAAAAGTTACTGGCCAGGCATGGTGGTACATGTCTGCAATCCCAGCAACTCAGGAGGCTGAGGCAGGAGGATTGCAAGTTCAAGGCCAGCCTCAGCAACTTAGTGAAGCCTTAAGTAACTTAGCAAGACCTTGTCTCAAAAACATAAAAAAAGAGCTGGGGATGTAGCTCTGTGGTTAAGTGCCCCTGGGTTCAATTCCTGGTACAAATAAAAAACAAACAAAAAAATCCCCCAAATCTCTCTGAAGTAGGATGGTTCAGAGTAGGCTGATACTCGGTGGAGTTTGTGATTGGCATGGCTCTGGCCCTTTCCCCAGGTTGGGGGGCAGGGTCAGTCCCTGAAGGTGTTTCATTTGTGGTGGGGCCTGTCTGGCAGCTCTGTGTGAGTGACATTGCAGAGTCTGCTGATGCTCAGGGTCTGTTGGCAGGCAGAAGACAGAGCTGCACCAGTCTAGCCAAGCTTTGATTTGAGTGAGCCAGTAGGTGTGGCTTCCACACTGGTGGTCTTCTCACAGGATGTTCTTGCAAGTCCAGAGGTCACACTCAGGACTTTGAGGCATTGTGTATCCCTGGGGGAAAAAGCCCACACACTGGGTTTCCTCTGAGAGAATCTCGTCAGCGCTGCTGGCCACTGTGGCAGTCCTGAGAGTCTATAGTGTGCCATGGCAGAGCAGAGGTGGTGCCCTGTGAAAGTCAGGTCTTGGTGGAGAGGATTTTTCAGAGATGGGTGGATTTTCCTGAGCGCCTACAGCCCAGTGCTTTTGGGGATACACTTGGGCCACCTATGCCAGTGCAGGCTCGGGGATAAGCTCCCAGGAAATATATCACAGCCTCTTTTTTGCCTTCTTTGACTACAATTGATCTCTCTTGTATCCCCCACCCAGGGGGCTTAAACAGATTGCATGTGGTGTAGATGCATGCTTCTCTTCCAACAGAGTGCGGCCACCTTGGCATATATCAGAACACTGTTGAGATTGCTGTGTGTCCCATCTGTTCTTTTACTTGACTGCCAGGCCCTGTTTGGGGTCTTTTCACAAAGCTCTCTCAGGAGAGGTACACACTTCTCAATAGTCTGGCATTTTTGATTGTTTCCTCTTCTGTGTTTCTGCCACGTAGGAATCAGAGTCAGAAGCAAAGGTAGATGGAGAGACTGCATCAGACAGTGAGAGCCGAGCGGAACCAGTTCCCCCRCCAACCTCCGTAGATGACACCCCAGAGGTCCTCAACAGAGCCCTTTCCAATTTGTCTTCAAGGTAATGTGGCTCAGTGAGGCAGGTATTTATGGGGTCTTTGTACTATGTTTAACATGCACTATGTTTAGWATGCCATGGAATACTTTAGGTCTTAGGATTTCTGGTTCAAGGTTTCGTTTTCTCTCTTTCATATACTTCCAYTATGAACAGTTCCTTAAGTTCTCCAGGAAAAGGTGGGAAACATTTCAACTTATTTGAATCCTTGGGTAAAATTTTTGGCTCTTGAGAAGTTGGTCCTTCTAAAAACAGTTTTGTGAATAGATGAAAAACACAAATTATATGACCCCCAAAGCATTATCTAAAAGCATTCCTATGCAGGCCTGCCACCTTGTCCCTTGGAGAAGCTGTATTATGCAGTGGTTAAGGGCATGGAGCCTGGATCCAGACCCCTGGACTCTAGTCCTAGCCTCACCATTTGCTAGCTATGTGACCTGTTCCTCTCATTTCTTCAGTAAAATATGTATGAATATKATGTGTCAATTTAAAAAAATACCATTTGGATTAAAATCTATTTTAAAATTGTAAAAAGCTAGTTGTGTTGAGGATTGAATTAATATTATATATAAAATTCTTATAAAAATGCCTTGTGCAGGTTGAGCATGGTGACATACATCTGTTAATCTCAGCTACTGGGGAAGCTGAGTTGGGAGGGTCACAAGTTTAAGGTCAGCCTCAGCAACTTAGTGAGACCTTATCTCAAAAAATGAAAAGAGCTGAGTATGTAGTTCAATGGCAAAGCATCTCTGTGTTCAGTCCAAAGTACCAAATAACCCAAAACAAAACAAAAAACCCAAGTTTATTAGTGTGTTTATTAGTCATAGCTGTTATTGTCTTTGCCTAATATTATTACCATCAGTGTGATAATACAGGGAAGTGCAGTGTGGAATTGTGGAATTCTGTTGCAGGAAAATGCCCAGAGTTTTTTCTTTAGCTAGATGGCCATAGAAGTCATCCAAGTAGATGCAGAAGCTGTGGGCATTACATCTCTGTTTTTTGCCTGATCTTTACTTCAGACGAAAGGTGGGCATATTTTCTGTAGGCCCTGGAGCACCTACTGAGTTTGGTTGTGGGTGAGATGCATTGGTACTAATGCTCTTCTCCACCAGCCTGTGACAATGCCTGTCAAGGTAAAGRAGATAGCCTGATAATAATTAAGCCCAGGGCCCACCAGACTCAGAAAGAGCCGTTTCCCTTAGGTTTGTGCTGTAATTCTTTCTGGGCTCCTAACTGGCGTTTTCTCCTTCCCCTGTTTCTCACCTAGATGGAAGAACTGGTGGGTGAGAGGCATCCTGTCTTTGGCCATGATTGCATTTTTCTTCATCATCATTTACCTGGGACCAATGGTTTTAATGATGATTGTAAGTGCCATTTGCATGTCATTTTAGTTTTACATTTTGTTTGTTCTACAGGATTATTGTCTTTAGTGCCAGATATTGGGTTGACTCTGGAACTCAGTGAGGCTTCAGGCTCCTCAGAATACTTCTAAGCCTTAGACCATCTGTGACTTCTCATCTTTCAGTAGCTAACTGGAGGTTACTGGCATAGGCCAGTTATTTGTAGTTAAAGATGTCGCTTTGTTTTTTTTTCTTTTTTAAATTATTTTATTTTAATTTTTTTAATATTTATTTTTTAATTTTCAGTGGACACAACATCTTTATTTTATTTTTATGTGGTGCTGAGGATTAAACCCAGTGCCCCGCGCATGCCAGACGAGCACGCTACCCCTTGAGCCCCCAAGCCCTCGCTTCGTTTTTAATATTGAATTTATTATTACAGTTTAACTGTGACCCTGGCTGTGTGTTTCTGTGATTCCTGGTTTTGTTTCCTGCTCTTCTGGAACCTCACTTGAGTGCTTAGAGCTTTTGTTAAAAAGTCGCAGTCCACAGCGCTGCTCTTGGTCTTCCTGCTGTTATGGAAAGGGCCAGATGATGAGAGTTGGCTGCTGAGCAGAGCAGTTGGGGTTTTTCAAATATTTATTACCAAAATCAAATGGGGACACAATTGTTTGAGTCCTGGGAGGTTCTAGAATAAAAWGTTAATCTGAACGTCAGCCATGTGAAGCTACTTCCTCTGACAGAGCATTGCCTTGTGGAATAGTGTTGAGGAGGAGGGRAGTGGGATCATCCTGAAAACTGAAGTTTTTATTTAGTGGTTTTGCTTAGGACCTGTGACCTGTTGTTTTTTGTTTCTGAAGATAATAAGAAGAGTGTTCTAATTCTTCTGTGTTTTGCAGGTAATGTGTGTTCAGATTAAGTGTTTCCATGAGATAATCACTATTGGCTACAATGTCTACCACTCCTATGACCTGCCCTGGTTCAGGACCCTCAGCTGGTAAGATCTCTGACYCAGAGGGCCCCTTACCTGATTTAGATGATGTGTTTGGTGGCATGTATTTACATTGATGGTGGGACACGATACAGTGCCCGCCTTAGACTTGTACAAAACCTTTGAGCCTTTCACAGACCAAACTTTGTGGCTGTTTTGAGTCTTCAGTAGCTACTAGGAGTCTGGAATCTTCCTCAGAAAAAAATCAGATGGCTGTCTGAGAGGATTTGCAGTGGTATTGGGGTTCCTAGACTTTAGGGACAGGAATAGTATTTGGCCCCTCCAGCTTTCTAGCTCAGTATATTTTTCATGCTGTAGCATCCCAGCATTCCCCTCGGGTCTTTGGGGTTGTCAGGTTGCATATATTGCTGTCTTGGGAACTTGGTTTCGCCATCACTAAAACAGATGGTTAAGACTCTTTCCTCAGTTGTTTTCAAATGGTGGGATTGGAGTTCTACTTCCTTGGAGGTACTCAGGGTGCTAGTATGAGCAGGATGAAACTGAAAGCACAGGATCTGGACTCTTCCAGAGAAACTCTGCTTTTTCCTTCTCTAGAAAAGGACTTGGCTGCTATAAAGCAAAAACAAAATAAAGAACTGTACTGCAGATGATATCTGAGACTCCTTTCTGATTAGAAACTTTGCTTTCTTGACCACACTCTTTTCAAGTGGTGACATTTGAGCAGAGCATCACATAGTTCTGAGAAGACTGATAGCAAACATAGACTCTTCTACCCCACTATGCTGGAACCCCAGTTTATTTGTGATTTAGTGGGCTGGACAATAGGGTTTTGTGCCCCGMAACTTGGTCATGACTGTGGGAGTTGATGTGCTCAGAATTAGGCTGGACATATCCTTCCATGATATCTCCCTATCACCCAACAATACACACTGCCTCCCAGCCTCCAGATGAATCTGTGATTGCTCCCTGGCTTAGGATGTAGGTCTCCATTGTGGCAGTTAAGATGTAGGTCTCTCTTGTGGCTGTTCTAYAGGAGGACAGCTGTGTTTTGAATTTTGTTAATATACTCAGGAGGCCTGACCTCTAGCTGTGGTCACTTTCCAAAAGACTTTTTCATGAACAGAAAATAAACTAAATGTGAGTTGTTTTTTTTTTTTTAAATTTTAAGTTGTATATGGACTCAATGCCTTTATTTGTTTTTATGTGGTGCTAGGATTGAACCCAGTGCCTCACACTTGCAAGGGAAGTGCTCTACCACTGAGCTACAATTCCATCCCTAAATATGAGTTTTTGAACTTCACAATTTAAAAAAGAAGGAAAGAGAAAATGTCTCTTCCCTTCTCTCCCTTGAATCCTCAGGCTTGGGGTGGTTCTGCCTGGTCTCATACTCAGAATCATCATGGAGGCTACTACACAAGATGTGAGCCATGACTTCTTGCCTCACAGAACTCCCTTGAAAGAGGATGTAAACAAGTGCAGAGTTAATCTAGTGAAAGCGTATGTGTCAGAGCCAGGCTTCCAAGTGGGAGATGCCCCGAGATAACTAACTGCCTAGTGAAATGAGCAAAGACTAGACTACTTGCTTTAGAAATAAATGGAGAGGTAGATAGCTTGTTAGACCATGTAAGGTTTTATGAAGAAAATGGTGTTTGAGCAATGAATGAATAWATGAATAAGTGAAGAGGATGTTCCAGGTGAGGAAGGGAGAGGATGGACCTTTTTGATAGAAGAGGAATTTTTGTGTGGGTAGAGCGGGATAGAGTCTGGAGAGGCAGAGTGAGGCACGTTTTAGAGGATTCTCAGGTTAGATATGGGAATGCCACAAGAGGGGCAAAAACCAAATCCTAAGTTTGTGAAAAGGGAAAGTTAATAAAAGCTGCCACAAGTTTTTAGATGAACTGCTCACCTACTTAGCGGAGAGCAGGGAACCGTAATCTGCTCGTCCCTCTGTGAGCTATCTCTGGGTCTCCAGGCAGATCGGGCTGCTGCTCTCTGTCCTTTCTTCTGTGCTTTCTGAGGGCTTCRCTGTAAAGGAGAGGCTGCATGTGCTCCTGCGGCACTGCCCTGTCTTCATTTCTAGGTACTTTCTACTGTGTGTAAACTATTTCTTCTATGGCGAGACAGTGACGGATTACTTCTTCACCCTGGTCCAGAGAGAGGAGCCTTTGCGGATTCTCAGTAAATACCATCGATTCATTTCTTTTACCCTCTATCTAACAGGTATGCATTAATTGCTTCACCAGTTCTTGTGTCTGTATTGTTTTCATCTGTCTGTGGAGAAGGAGTTGGGAAATTCTTTTAAAATTATTTATATATATATATATATWTWTTTTAGATGTTGATGGACCTTTATTTTTTATTTATTTATATAAGGTGCTGAGAATCAAACCCAGTGCCTCACACATGCTAGGCAAGCCCTCTACCCACCGAGCTACAACCCCAATCCYGAGTTGGGGAATTCTTGTTTAAAGTTTTATAACTGGGACTGTGCTGGGGAGCAAGCTGAGGACTTGGTCATACATTGAGCTGTTATAGCTCTAAGAGAAATTGAGACCCAGGGAGTTGCGGTTATGGGGATGGTCATGGCTGTCTGTCCCACCTGCTTGAGTATCAGCCTCCTTATGAGGACCAGTGGAGCATGTGTGGCCTTATCTCAACTCTCTTGTTGGCTGAAATTCTGCAGTGTGACAAACAAAAATCATTCAGTTAGTGACTATCTTTTAGGGAAGTCTTCATAGAAGCAACCTTGAGAAACATTGCAGTGTGATGGAAGTTTCACTAGATTTACCTTTGAAAAGACTCCATAACCTCAGTGGGCAAGGAATTTAATCTTTCTTTTTCTCTTGTGACACTGGGGATTGAACCAGGGCCTTGAACATGCTAGGCAAGTGCTCTTACCACTGAACTTACATCACTTTTTATTTTTTAGTTGTATTTATTTTTTGGTACCAGGGATTGAACCCAGGGATGCTTAGCTACTGGACTACATCCTCAGCCCCCTCCTGTGTGTGTGTGTGTGTGTGTGTGTGTGTGTGTGTGTGGTTTGTTTGTTTGTTTTAATATTTGAAATAGGTCTTGCTGAGTTGCTTAAGGCCTCACTAAGTTACTAAGGCTGGCCTTGAACGTGCTCTACCTCAGCCTTCTGGGGTGCTGGGTTTACAGGCATGCACCACCACGCCCAGCCCTTGTAATTTTTTGAGACAGGGTCTTGCTCAATTGCCAAGGATGGCCTTGAACTTGAGATTCTCCTGCCTCATCTCCCAAGTACCTGGAATTATAGTTGGCAATACAGTCTCAGTTACCTCTTCTGTGATCTAGAATTAAAACTGCAGGGCTATTGCAGTAGTTTTTCTGCTCTTGTCTTTGAAATTATGCATTGGTTAACTCCTGTGAAAAAATTAAAGGGCCATTTAACACAGCTAAATGAAATGACTAGAAGAAAGGTAAACATAGAGTGTGATTTATTTAACTCCTTTCTCTTCCTCCAAACTAGGATTCTGCATGTTTGTACTGAGTCTGGTCAAGAAGCATTACCGACTGCAGTTCTACATGGTAAGGGGGGAGGGGAGAGAGAGAGAGAGAGAGAGAGAGAGAAAGAATATGCATGCCAGAGGGAGAGGGGGAGGGAGGGGGGAAGAAGGAGGGAGGAAGGGAGAGAAGGGAAGGGAGAGGGAGGGAGAAGGAGAGAGAAAATGAATTCTTGTTTTAATTGAAGAGCTGCAGAAACTCAACAGGTTTTTCATGCTTTCTGTGACATCAAAATTCTGGAATGTGATCTATTCTGTATGTATCTGGAACCTTGAGACCATCTCTCTGAGTGCCCTAAGAGTTTAGTAAATACTATGAAAAAAAAAGTACCCATGCGTCAGAGCATAGGACTCACTATTGGGCTATCCAGTCCCTACTTTTTTTAGTATTGGGGATTGAATCTAGGGTGCTTTATTGCTGAGCTATATTTTTATTTTTTATTTTGAGACAGGGACTCACTAAATTGCTGAGGCTGTTTTCTAACTTGTGATCCTCATACCTCGGCGTCTTAAGTTGCTGGGATTTCAGGCATGCTCCGCTGTGCCCAGCCACTCCTGCTTTTTTTTTTTTTAATATTTATTTTTTAGTTATAGGTGGACACAATACCTTTATTTTACTTTAAGTGGTGCTGAGGATCAATCCCAGTGCCTCATGCATGCTAGGCAGGCACTCTACCTCTGAGCCACAACCCTACTCCCAGTACTTGCTTTTGATGGGACTCTTCTTGGGAGGGACAAAGTGTTACTCTCAGCAGCCTATTCTGTATCTTTTTACTTCCAGTAAGTCAGGTACAGAAGCAGATCTTTTTTCTGTTTGTCATCAGTTTTCTGTTCTTTAAAGTTATTTCTAAGGTAAACTTGATAGTTTTTCTTCTTTTACAGTTTGGGTGGACCCATGTAACATTACTGATTGTTGTAACTCAGTCGCATCTCGTTATCCACAATCTGTTTGAAGGAATGATCTGGTGAGTGATGGCAGCAGGAAGTATTTTCCCTCTTATTTTGTGGGTATTTCTTACATACACCTAGGCTGAGAACCCCTGCCTTCCCTTCCAAGCCAGTAGTTCTCACCTTGAGCTATTCAGAATAGCCTTCAAGCTAGTTACAACACATATGGCCGGTTCGGTAGATCTGGGGTAGGGCCTGAAATTTTGGATTTTCTAGTGCATTCCCAGGTGATGCTGATGCTGCTGGTCAGTACCTAAATTCTAAAAATCTGTTCTAGACTAACAGGTACWGGGATATTTGATCAAAATTTATAAGTGTACAGCAACCTGAAATTTGAAAACCTAGAGGGAATATTCAGGAGTTCCTAGAAAATTGTGAACTGCTAATAGTTATAAACAAACTTGAATATATCAGTGACTATAGAAGAGCTTTGAAAATTGTGTAAATTCAACACCTTGGAAGAAAGAAATGGGACCAATCAGGTTAATAGCTGAATGTTATCTAACACACCAAAGCTGATGAGGAAGAAGCAAGAACCATCCTAAATAAAATATTAGCAGGTAGGATCTGGCAGTGTGTCAGAAGAACATTATACTGTTACTGAGTAGATTTAATTTTAGAAGCATAGTGGTTTTAACAGGAAATGTGTCAGCATTGATAGGAATCAGCAGAATGACTAAGAAGGTAGGTGATCTTAGTGGAAAGGTAAAGGCACATCTTCAGGTAATGAGAGACATGCTTAAGTATTGTGGGTCACATCCAGACTGCCTCTCTCTTCAAATGTTAGAGTTAGAATGTAGTTACATTCACCTCCTGAGGAACTGACAAGTCAGCAAATCTAAAGAGATTAATTAGCTCATATAAATGTTAGCTTTGGGCATTATTATATTTAAAACAATTATAAAGGCCTGAGTAGGCACTATATCCTTTTCAAATTTCAGTGTTCTTATTATGCATTTCCTTTTTTTTTAATATTTATTTTTTAGTTGGACACAATATCTTTATTTATTTATTTTTATGTGGTGCTGAGGATYGAACCTAGGGCTAGCACTCTACCACTGAGCCACAACCCCAGCCCCCTTATTATGCATTTCTTAAGAGTAGCATGTGCTAAGTCCTCAGATTCATGGCTAAACAAGTCAGTTGAATCTATAGTGACTAATATTAAATTCTCCAGTGAAGGCCGGGTGTGGTGGTGCACACTGTAATCCCAGTGGCTCAGGAGGTGGAGGCAGGAGGATCGTGAGTTCAAAGACAGCCTCAGCAATTTAGTGAGGAACTAAGCAACTCAGTGAGACCCTGTCTCCAAATAAAATTCAAAATAGGACTGGGGATATGACTCAGTGTTTGAGTGCCCCTGAGTTCAATCCCCAGTACCGTCCCCACCCCAAAAAAGTTTCCAGTGAAGGTTTAATCATTGTTATAGTACATTGTTATAGAGACTGTTCTACAAGCCTTGGACAAAGTAAATAATGTGGAGTCTGGAAGATAGAGTGAGAAGGGTTCACACACTCCAAATTTCTCCCTCAAGCAGGAAGTTAGGAAATCGTGCCCATAGTTGCTGGGCCAGGAAATCAAGATTTATTTCTATCATTTTAAATTAATAGAAAAACTTTAAAAAGTGTCTTGAGGGTGGAGAGTGAGGAAAGAGAAGATGGTATGAGTATAAACACCACCTGTCTTCATGGTGGAGGTGATTGGTTTATCAAGAGGAGGGCAAAGAAGAAATATAGGTGTGCATATTGGGGTTTTGTTCCAAGGGTAGTCCTAGGGAAAAGTAGGGCACACGAGTGCTAGAAATAAGCAGTGAAAAAAGTAAGTTAGCTACCAAGTATATATATATATATATATATATATATATATATATATATATATATATATATATTTGTTTTAGAAATGTACAGGTAACTACTCGAAAAAAATTAGGTAAGAGTAAAAGTGGTTATTTTGGAGACTGGAGATAGGGATGGGGGGGAAGAAGGAAAAAAAATTTTTCTCCTTTTACAATTTATATTTGTATTATGTGTATATATTACTGTATAATGAAAAAAGAATAGAATGACATTTATAGATACTCTATTTATTCAGCAGTCATTCAGTAAACATTTTAATGCCTGCTGTGTATCAAGTAATTTGTATGGATTTTGGTGTTTACTTTCTTTGTATTTTATACCACAATAGGTTACAAAAGCACTATCAGCTTTTTGGTTCTGGAATTTATGAATGGCATTGTTGGTGGACTACTGAGGTACTGTCATCTTGGTAGAGTTGATTCTCACTTTGTTTTGTTTCCTAGGTTCATTGTCCCCATTTCTTGTGTGATCTGTAATGACATCATGGCCTATATGTTTGGCTTTTTCTTTGGTCGGACTCCACTCATCAAGGTAAACGATCACCCTAACATAAAATATCACCATGAGGGTAGGATGGTGCTTTCTACATGAGTAGGTTAATGTGGCAGACAGAAGGAAATCTAGCTGGTGTGCACTGTGGCTGTGTAACCATGTGCCCCTGGGGGTAGACTGGTAGTAAATTAATTGTAAGGGAAAAGCCAAAAGAAAACATTGACAACTACTCATTTAAAAAAAAAAAAATAACAAAATGTTTCTATAGACTTAAAGCACACTCTCAGAGCTTTGATCTGATTTGTGTGTTGTGATTAAATTAGTACGTAGTTTAATAATAAGAATATTTGAAACAGGAAACTGAAGGGTATAATTTAGGGAAAAAGGAAGCCATGTTTTGGAAATTTTAGAAGGTAATGTGGTTAAAAGAATAGGGTTTCTTTTTCTTTTTTTTTTAATTGATTAAAAAAAAATACAGCGGAATGCATTACAATTCTTATTACACAGATACAGCATAATTTTTCATATCTGGTTAAGAATAGGGGTTTTATGACAGAGATATTTTTCACAAGTAATCTTTCCAAAGCCTGAGTCACTGACATCCTTTGCTAAGAATGTGCTCTCTGTCCACAGCTTTCTCCAAAGAAGACCTGGGAAGGCTTCATTGGGGGTTTCTTTGCTACTGTGGTGTTCGGCCTTCTGGTAGGTGGAGGTTCCTAGCCGGGTGGCAAAGGGGACAGAGGCCTCACTCCACACTTCAAAGGCCTGTGCAGGGCTAGGGAGTGTGTCTCGCTAGACAAGGAACTCTGTCCTGCTGATTACCTTGCCCCAAAGAGATGCATGAGCATGGAACACTCTGTGAGGGGTACAGTGGTGCTGGCTGTTCTTTACCCACCAGTTTCCAGGCAGGGTTTTGGCAGTCGTGAGATAAGCAACCTTGTAAACCCTCTCATCCCTAGGCATGGTGATACTTGAGCAGACAATGTTCTTGTCCAGGCATTTGGTATTTCAAGATCAGGGTGAGTGACACCCAAGAGTAAGGGCTGAGGTGAGATAAGCTTCTCCAGCCCTGAATTTTTCCTACTTATAACCTGCCAGAGGTAGATGATCTTTCAGCCCCTTTCATCCCTTTCAAGGACACCACTTCCTGCCTCGGACCTTGAGGCCAGTCTCTCCCTTTTTTAGTGTTGCCTGACTGTCCCTTAGTGCTGCTGTCCCCTGGCTTTATTATGTCTAGCCTTCTTTCTCCTGGCTGGCTGCTGTCATTGTACCATATTCCCATGACCTCCCTCCAGTTGTCATTGAGTTTAGAGATCCTGAGACAATAGATTAGAGCTCCCCCAAATGGGAAGAAATGTCTTGTAGTTAAATTCCTTTTCAGGGTCCATGTGTTTGGGCACATCTGAGTGAGACCTCAGTGAGCATAAACCTCTTTTATTAAAAAAATTCAGGTAAAATGCACATGTGGTAAAACATGAACCTCTGACTTTGCACATAGCTTGCAGTGAGCAGGATGGTGGACACTGAGGAACAGACGTGTCCAAGCCAGATGTCGGCCATCCTGATGAACACAGCTCGTCTTCATGCCTGTGTCTCTCTCCCTCATTCTCAGCTGTCCTACGTGATGTCTGGGTACAGGTGCTTTGTGTGCCCTGTGGAGTACAACAACGACACCAACAGCTTCACTGTGGACTGTGAGCCCTCGGACCTGTTCCGCCTGCAGGAGTACAACATTCCTGGAGTGATCCAGTCAGTCATTGGCTGGGTATGTGCCACTCACAGGGGGTGAATGGGTGGGATATGACTGCAAAGAGGAGCCCCCTCCACCACCTACCCTCCAGAGCCACTAGCTTTGGGGTGAGGGCAGGAGACCTTTCTCTTCACTTTACATTTAGGGCAGTGGTTCTCAGTGTTTTGTGGGCTCCTTTAGAGGGATCCTTCAGGTACCAACTGCTTTCATAATATTACAATGAATTTATGTGCCTTTTCCACTCTGCTCACATTCTCTATGATGGTACAAAAACAGCAGGTGGGAAAACGGCCAGCGTCTAGGCATGAGTTAAGGCAGCGGCACAAATAGGGCTGGCAGGCAGTACCCTCTTCATGCTACCCCCTTACAATGCAGACAAGCCAGTTGCTCTTACATCTTTGATGAAATGGTAAAATTGCTAATTTTATTAAAGTTTGACCTTGAGTGCACACGATTTTAATACTCTGCTGAAATGGAAAATGTGCATAAAACATTCCCTGCTAAATATTGCTGTGTGCCTGAAGGAAAAGCATGTGCAGTTGTTTGGGTTGTGGAATGGACAATCTGTGTTTTTCTAGGAACATAATTTTTATTTGAAAAGAATGGCAAAACTATCTTTTCAGATTGGRTATTTAGCAGACATTTTTCTGAGAAGGAACGAAATSAGCCTGTCACTCAAGGAAAATGACAGCAAATGCTAACCAATGATAGAACTTGGCTTCTAAGTGAAAGTTTGTATTTTGGAAACATGTACCTGCCACTGTAAGCATGACAGCCTCCTACTTCTTAAAGACTTTTCTGATGAGATCCATAGTGATTTTAGTAGGTGACATTTTGACATTGGATAATGAAATGTGTCTACATTTGGAAGATTTATATGACTTAGCAAACCTGTATTTTCTAGATGGTCAATGCATGGTTCCACAGTCACACATGGGCAAAAGATTTCATTCAGAGTGTGAGACAGATGATGTGAGAAAGCACGAAAAATTAATCTGTAGGATTTCAGATTCCACATTGCATCCAATTTTTAAGAAACAGCCTCTGTCACATTCTGTTGTAGTGTTAATATGCATTATTATTTGAGAAGACTACTAAAAATATGCTTCATTTTTGAACTATGTAAGGCTGGATTTTCTTTATATACTTTCACCAAAATATTGCAGCAGGTTGAATGCAGAATATTTTGGGGGGGATGGGGGGACTGGGAATTGAACCTAGGGGGTGCTTTACATTTGAGCTATACCCCCAACCCTTTTTATTTATATTTTGAGATGTTCTTGCTAAATTGCTGAGGCTGGCCTTGAACTTAAGATCCTCCTACCTTAGCCTCTTGTAGCTGGGATTATGGGCATGCACCACCATGACTGACCTGAATACAGAATACATTAATGTCTTCCATTAAGCCAGATATTAGAAATTTATAACAATGTAAAGGAAAAAAATCTACTCTTCTTCTTGATTTAAAACAGTGTAATTAGTTTCATCAAGAGTTATTTCTCTTCACATGTAATAAGGCTGGATTTGTATGCATCTTGACTTTTATTTCACTTATTTTTTCTAGAAAACAGTCCGGATGTATCCCTTCCAGATTCACAGTATTGCCCTCTCCACCTTTGCCTCACTCATCGGCCCCTTTGGCGGGTTCTTTGCAAGTGGATTCAAACGAGCCTTTAAAATCAAAGTAGGCAGAGGTTTCCTCTTTATTCCTTTCATCTCACTCTCCTTGCCCATCTTCTGTCTTCCTCCCCTCTTTCCTACCCCATCAGCCATCGACATAGCACCAGACTTTGCACCCTGGTGATACATGCTCTTCTTGACCCAGGTGCTGCATTCATGTGGGTTAAACAAAAGTATATTTTTTTCTAAGAAAATTCTACAGTTGGTTTTCAGTTTGTTAATTTTGTTCTCTTTAAAAGAACATTTTGTAATTTATTAAGCTTGTATTCTATAATTGCCTTATCATTTGATTTAGTTCCTTCTCTTGCCCTTGACTACCTAACACAGCAAGAGTTATTTCTCTTCACATGTAATAAGRCTGGATTTGTATGCATATTGACTTTTATTTCACTTATTTTTTCTAGAATAAAAAATTGGGGTGGAACATTGGGGTGGGACTGTCAGTCTGGTGTTTGGTTGTTGACTGAAGCCAGGCTTGCCTGTCCTTCTCTGCCTTAAACAGGACTTTGCCAATACCATTCCTGGCCACGGAGGCATCATGGATCGCTTTGACTGCCAGTACCTGATGGCCACCTTTGTCAATGTATACATTGCCAGTTTTATCAGGTATAGTGCCTTTCCATCTGAACCAAGTTGGCAGCTTTGTAAGTATGGTGCATTTCTAGAATTTTGGCTACATTTAAGTTCCARTGAAAAACCATCTCAAATATGAACTCAGTTTCAGTTGTCACTGTGCATGAGGCCCCATTCTGCCCTTAGAAGAGAATCCGMAGATCAAAGCAGTAGTTTGGATAATCAAGCCCTAGAAGCAGCTGGGCCTACTCAGGGCTGTTTCTTCATGTTCTGTTGCAGAGGCCCTAACCCAAGCAAATTGATTCAGCAGTTCCTGACCTTGCGACCAGATCAGCAGCTCCACATCTTCAACACGCTCAAGTCTCATCTGACTGACAAGGGGATTCTGACAGCCACCACAGAGGACGAGTAGGGGCCACCCAGGGCCAGGAGAGCAGGAACAGAACTGAGTGCAGGGCAGGTCTCCAAGGCAAGCCCAGCTGCTGTGACTTAGACAATGACAAGCTTCAACTCACTGTCTTTTTTTTTTTTGGTGGTGGGGGGGGGGTTGTTTTTTTTTTTTTTTAATTTGTGGGTTAAAAAATATGTATATACTGTCTTTGTGTTTATGATTTGGATTGTGAGTAAACTGTAGTTGAGTTGGAAAGAAGTCATGAGGGCAAAACCATTTGGGTATATTAAACAGAAGTATTGAGCAACCCGGAAGACAGTGTTGCCCAGCTCAGGATGTGATCCCTGTCAAGCTGTTACTGGACCCAGTGAGAGTGGCATTCATCTGTGTGAACCCATTTAGGTGGCTCTCCCACTAGTGCTGGGCACACGGCTTGGACACTTGCTGTTCTTGACAGCATTCACTGGCTCTTCTCTACCAGTGCCTGCCTGGGAGCTGTGGAGGGTTGCCCTCTCTAGGCTGAAGGAATGCAGGCTTGTTGATCAGAGGAGCATTCTGTCCACACTGAAGCCCTGCAGAGGCTGAAAGAAGCTCTGCTTTATGTATGGTTTCACTTCATTTCAGACTGAAAGAAGGTTTTAGTTTTTATTTTTATTTTTGAAAGCATGAAAAATTATTTATGATAGTCTGGATAAAACCCACACTGTAATATTTCAAGTGTATGCAGTAGAAGCACTGTAACTGAGCCCCCTTCCCATGATTTAGGCTCCAGTGTCTCCTGGAGGACAGTCCAGTGAACTTTGTCTTTTCAGGGCTGAGGCCGTTGGCATTTGTGCTGTAGACTTGCTGCTGAGTCCTTCCTGGGGGCCCTCACTGGGGACCCTAACCGGAGGCAGGGAGAGAGGGCTTTTGGTTTGCACTCACCTYGCTGAGCACCATGTAGCTGCTGTGTTGTGTATATATTACTCTTGAGGCAAGTATGTGTCTATGTTTGTTCTAAAACACCCTTATTTCTTACCATGATTTCAATTATACCATGACTTGTTCATTGAATCCATAAAGTCCTGCTAAAAACTATGGCATAACTAACCTATGAGAGGCCTGGCTATTCTGAAGATTAAATGTATACTTTTTATATAATGTGACCAGTTTAAATGTAGTGTGTATTTTACTGGGGACCTTTTGTTGTAGTTACTGTTTGTGTAAACTGATTTATTTTTCCCCTTCCCTACTCATTAAGGCGAGATGGGCTTTGGGAAAATGATTAGGTCTTTGGCCAATGCACAGTCAAGCACAGGGGAGAGAACCTGGTGTACAGATGTGTTAAAATTATTCCATGGCATGGTTGCTTTCATTGCTAGTGACAGCAGGACTTGCTTCAGCACCTTGGTCTGGTTTGATTTATGCTGTGAGTAAACTACAGCTCTGAGTTGGAAAGTCACTGGGGTAAAACCATTGGATTTTTAAAACAAAAGTATTGAAGAACCTGGAAGACGGTGTTGCCCCTTTTTGGAAGTCTGGTTGGTTCTGGCCCCAAGTGTGTGTGGGTTTTTTTTTTTTTTTTTTTTTTTTTTAATGTTGGCCTTCCTGCCTCCTGAAGGTTCATAATCAGCCAGGTGACTGAAGCATCCACAGGGGACTCTAGAGCCCTCACAGTGTTTGAACTCACATATCTGTGTGATCTCTCCTCGTGGGTGTGAAGCAGCTGTTTTTCACTGAACTGTCACTTTAGTTTCAGCTTCATGGCTTTTATTTTTTGGGCCCARGGTCCCCTTAAGAACAAAACATGTTATGCTGGAGGTTTATATTCTGGCTATGTGTCCCTGGGCAGGAAGCCTCACTCTAGGGTCCTCATTTTCTGAGCTTCTTCTATTACACTGTTCTGTGATTCCCCAGAGCAAGGTCTTATTACCCCTGGGCACCCGAAAAGGAAATKCGTTCAGGTATTTTCTAAATGCTTGTCCTCAAGATGTGTCAGTGTCTTAGCAACTAATCTTCAACAGAGATTAGGAGTGAAACTAGTTTTCTGATTGAAGAATGAACTTGGATCATCAAACTAGGTATAGAAGGGCACCTCCTTTGTCTCTTGTGGCCTCATTGTGGGCAAGTGGTGGGGTCCTTATGAACAGAGGGGGGAGGGGGTATCTCAGTGGGGGCCCAGGAGCAGGGACTCACTCTGAAACCAGGCTGCCTTTGGATGGAGGAGTCTGGGGCCAGCAGCTGAGGCTTACCCTCCTTTGTGGAAGTGGTCACTGACGGAGGATCCTGGGGAACTAAAGCTGGATACTCACTAGAGCTGTCAGCAAGAGGCTAGAGTGGCAGCTGGGGTTTTATTTTTTTTCTGATTTCTCTAAGTGCTTTYTAGTGGAGGAGGAATTTCCCAGTCAGGTGGAGAGGAGAGCAATGCCACCTTGTGTCTGTATGACAGTGTTTCTTTCTCCYACTTTCAGACAAGCTCCAGAGACTATTTTAAAATGCTCCCAAGCAGATCCTAGTGACTTGCACAACCTGTTTTAGACCCATTTTTTTTTTTTTATCAGAAATAAAATGTGACTGGAACTGTGTGCCCTCCCTTGTCATGAATCCAGTATTTGTCACCTCCACGCTTAGTTATGTGTGTCCCACTTGTTTATGTATTCATAAGTAGTATGTAGTCCCGATTCAGAGATTTTTGCTTTGTTTTGCAATTTGTATCCCATACATTCCCAGCAGCCTTCTGAGGTAACCGAGAGAGCCACGAACACCTTCCCAGGAGAGAGCTTCCGCAGGGTAGTAAGGTGGAGCCGGGACTATCTCCATCTCACACTGTGAGCCCCACAGGACAAGGATGGCTGGTGCCTCAGCCAGCTCCACCTGAAATGTTACAGCATTCTCCCCCTGAGCCTCAGGAGGCCTGGCCCCTGCCAGGTTGGAGCTTCAGTCGCTGTTAGCTCACCCTGGTGAAATAAGGAGATGACGAACTAACCAGGGCTGACATGGAGGCCTGGGCCTGGGCATCCCTGGTGAGTTCCACTGGGGCTGCTCACCGTGCTTGTGGGGTTCTGAAGTTTCCCTCTGCTGGTGTGCGCCACCCTCTTAGATGCTTCCAACACCAAAAAAGCACACAATTGTGTTTACTCCTGAAAGTGAAGCCTTGAAGACAGCTGGGCCTTATTATGTTTATTCCTTTTTTGCCTGTTTCATATTTGGAACCATTTAGTAGCTATAGTGTCATCACATTTACAAAGTATTTATTCTTTATGTTGTATAGTTCTACAGTGGATGTGGGGGGTGAAGTGTACCTTTAAACTGTATACGGTGAACTTTGACATGGACTTTTATCCTATAACTTGATCTGTATTATTCAAGAAAATTCCAGAAAATATATTTTAAGGGAAACTACACAGACCCTGTGACTTGTRTGTAGGCTAGTTGTAGAATTGGCAGGGGGCTTATTTGAACGGATCTCCAAGTTCAGCTCCTCACCGTGGGTCTCAGTAAGCTCAGGTCCATCCGCTGTTGAGTGTAGGGTGGGGAGAAGGTGAAAAACTCATGGCGCAGAGCRTCCTTTGTAGGAAGACTGTAGCGTGCTCCCTATGAAGCCAGCCCAGGTGGATGTCCAAGGGAGATTTCATCACTCTGCCAAATGTGGTATGTCACTGTCCAAATCTCTCCCTGTTCTAGTAATATCTTAGGTACCTTTGTCTTCTGTCTTTCAGAGTAATTCCACCTTGGCGTATGGTTGTGCACACTGTGCTTACATGTGGAAAAAGGGGTGAAGTCGGGGGGGGGGTGTGTGTGATTTTTTTTTTTTGAATCCAGGGTTCCTTTTCTTCTCAGGTAAGGGTGAGGAAGATGTCCGGATGAACTTCATAGACACATCACAAGAGTAAGCTGGTTATGGACTCTATACTTGTCTGGAACACAGGACTCCACAAAGGGCAGCAGGGTCACACTGTCAGCAAATTCTTGSTCAGAACCTCATATTCCTTTTTTAATCATGGTCAAAACCAACTTCCTTTCCCCTTTATCTCTGTCCTCAGGGCTGCCCAGCTTCCAGTTTTTTAAGGAGTTGAACAGCTGTGACTTCCTGGCTCAGTTTGTGGGGTTGGATGGGGGCCTTATGGCACAGTCCATAGAGGGTGCTAGGGTTTGGATCCAGTAGTGAAGAAGGGTCCTCATTTAAGGGCTCTGCTGGGCCTACTTCCCCTTGAGCCTGGGCTCTCCCARCCCACATCCTTGGAAGGTGGCCCATCCTCACAGGCAGATGACTAGCCACTGTTTCCATTGGAGTGTGGCCCACCTTTCTGCCCCTTCCATTTCCCACACTCCTCACTTCAGGTTGACCATGGTGACGGCTCCTAGTCTCACGTGGCTGTTCTCACCAGGACTGCCCCCTTGATTGGGCAGAGCTCTTACTTTTTTGATGGAGATTGTATTTTCCAAGGTCAGACATTACCGTTTTGAGGGCAATTTAGGAGGAATATTTTGGATGCTAGAGTGGTGGTAGGGTTTTAGGACATGTGGGTGATTTATGAGAATAAAGGGGTAGAATATGTGAAGTCCAGGGCTTTATGGCCAGTGGGTTTCAAATCCACTTGTTGTTCAAAGACCCTGCTCCCACTCCTCTGTCAGTGCCTATTCTCTGCTTCTCCTTATTCTCTAGCTAACATGACATTATCAGTGTATTTATTAATGATTGTAATCATACAGTGCTTAATATGTGCCAAGCACAGTGCAGAAGGTTTGCATACATTATTCCCTTAAAAACATAAACCAGCCTTGGATTAGGTTCCCATTTTGCAGATRCAGAAACTGAGGCTCTGTGAGGGAGGCTGAGAGCATTGGTTAAGACAGACTTCAGGCTGGGATAGCATGAGCTGTGGGCAGATTGCTAGTCTACTGTCAGCCTCCACCTCTCTGATCCAGTTGGAACTGAAATTGATCAGGAGGATTTAATGGGATAATGTGGGCCAACATTTAGCTCAGTGTCTGGCACATAGTAAGCGCTCAATAAATAGTAATTTTTTTGAGCTCAGCTGGCAGTTTGACCCACACTGGTATAATGCCAGAGACTGGGTTCTTGGCTATCACACTGCCACTGCCCTGGACACAACCTGATGCTCACGGTTTGGAAAGTGACCGCACAGTCCTTCTGAGAGTAGTAGTCCAACTGTAGCACCCTACTTGAGCATCTTGGTTTACACATTGTTTAGAAGGCACACCTGATCAAAGGAAAGAGGGCTTCAGGATGTTCAGAAATTCTCAGTTCATAGTGGGAGTGGCTTGCTGAGAGTTGTCCACTTGCTGTGGCCTTGGTCTGGACTGCCCATGGGGGAGAGGCYGTTTCCTCTTGCCTGGAGGTGCCTCTGCTCTGGACAGTGAGAGCTGTTTCTGACTCATTCTGGACTCCACCTCCTACCCTGGCTAAGCTCTGTGCACACAGCTCAGGAACCTGTAGTTTCCTGGATGGTTTCAGGGGCCAAGAAGAGTGAAGAAAACAAACTTGTGCTGAAGCAGGTTACGTCAGCTGGAAGCCTCGAAGCTCTGCCCATATCCTTAATCGGTATCAGGTTGGCCTTGTTTTTGTGTTTTCCTGAAGGCATTAGGATAGAGCAGGTGAGGACAGGTGGTGTGGATGGTTTCTCTTGGATTCTGGGTTAGCAAAGGATTCAGTGGCTTATTAATGAACGAAGGGAGAACAGGCACTGGATTAAGTGAAAAATGTTTCTTTAACTTAGTTTCTGAATGGAGACAAGGGAGTTGGGGGATGTGTTGAAGTAGAGGTGTCCTTACTCTGAAGGAATGATTCTGGCCAGTGGGATMCAGGGGATTCTTACGCCGGTTGAATGATCATGTAGAACTAATGGCTTCACTGGGGACTGTCTGTTGGGTTTGTAGTGAGCCCCTAAGGYCCATTGCTAGAATTTAAATATTGGTCTCTTCCCTTCAGTTCATGATGGAGGGTGATGATAATGACAGTGGTTGTGGAGGTTTTTAGTAAACAGCTACTGATCTGGGTTTGTCCTGGAGRCCCTCGTGTCTTTTCAGTATCCTACCCCTGACACTTCCTCCCTCCTTGTGCTATCTACCAGGCCCAGGCAGCCCTTTATCTGGAGAGGGTGGCTGGATACCCCGTGGACCGTCCTGCAGTGCTCTCCCAGGCACTGGGCAGGCCTCGCTCTCAGCTCCTAGATGACTTCCCTTTTTTCCAAGTAAAATTGTGTTTGCTGGTGTGAGCCACACAGCCATCTCGTTCCTCAGTACTGGAACACCTTCTCACCTCCATTAGGTTCATGCACAGGTTCTGCTGGGTTTTCTCCGAAGAACACCAGTATACAAAAGAGGTTAAGAACGAAAGTGGGCAGAACATGCAAGCATTTTGAGTGTCCTTTGTGTGTGGGTTCCTTTGAAATCCTCTGTACACAGAGCTAGGAGCTTTAGTAAGCCCTGTTTCTGCCCTACAGTGTGCTGGCTGGGTGTCTGGGGCTGATTACCAAGACAAAGAGCTGGGCAGACATTGGGCCAATGAAACCAAAGGACTTGGAAGCAGGAGAGATCAGGGACTAGGAGGCAGCAAATT